CAGGGGTGGCTGGGGGGTACAGCTGTCGTGGGCAGGGGTGGCTGGGGGGTACAGCTGTCGTGGGCAGGGGTGGCTGGGGGGTACAGCTGTCGTGGGCAGGGGTGGCTGGGGTCCACCTGTTGTGGGCAGGGGTGGCTGGGGGGTACAGCTGTTGTGGGCAGGGGTGGCTGGGGGGTACAGCTGTCGTGGGCAGGGGTGGCTGGGGGGTACAGCTGTTGTGGGCAGGGGTGGCTGGGGGGTACAGCTGTTGTGGGCAGGGGTGGCTGGGGGGTACAGCTGTTGTGGGCAGGGGTGGCTGGGGGGTACAGCTGTTGTGGGCAGGGGTGGCTGGGGGGTACAGCTGTCGTAGGCAGGGGTGGCTGGGGGGTACAGCTGTTGTGGGCAGGGGTGGCTGGGGGGTACAGCTGTTGTGGGCAGGGGTGGCTGGGGGGTACAGCTGTCGTAGGCAGGGGTGGCTGGGGGGTACAGCTGTTGTGGGCAGGGGTGGCTGGGGGGTACAGCTGTTGTGGGCAGGGGTGGCTGGGGGGTACAGCTGTTGTGGGCAGGGGTGGCTGGGGGGTACAGCTGTTGTGGGCAGGGGTGGCTGGGGGGTACAGCTGTTGTGGGCAGGGGTGGCTGGGGGGTACAGCTGTTGTGGGCAGGGGTGGCTGGGGGGTACAGCTGTTGTGGGCAGGGGTGGCTGGGGGGTACAGCTGTTGTGGGCAGGGGTGGCTGGGGGGTACAGCTGTTGTGGGCAGGGGTGGCTGGGGGGTACAGCTGTTGTGGGCAGGGGTGGCTGGGGGGTACAGCTGTTGTGGGCAGGGGTGGCTGGGGGGTCCAGCTGTTGTGGGCAGGGGTGGCTGGGGGGTACAGCTGTCGTGGGCAGGGGTGGCTGGGGTCCAGCTGTTGTGGGCAGGGGTGGCTGGGGGGTACAGCTGTCGTGGGCAGGGGTGGCTGGGGTCCAGCTGTTGTGGGCAGGGGTGGCTGGGGGGTACAGCTGTCGTGGGCAGGGGTGGCTGGGGTCCACCTGTTGTGGGCAGGGGTGGCTGGGGGGTACAGCTGTCGTGGGCAGGGGTGGCTGGGGGGTACAGCTGTCGTGGGCAGGGGTGGCTGGGGGGTACAGCTGTCGTGGGCAGGGGTGGCTGGGGGGTACAGCTGTCGTGGGCAGGGGTGGCTGGGGGGTACAGCTGTCGTGGGCAGGGGTGGCTGGGGGGTACAGCTGTCGTGGGCAGGGGTGGCTGGGGGGTACAGCTGTCGTGGGCAGGGGTGGCTGGGGTCCAGCTGTTGTGGGCAGGGGTGGCTGGGGGGTACAGCTGTCGTGGGCAGGGGTGGCTGGGGTCCAGCTGTTGTGGGCAGGGGTGGCTGGGGGGTACAGCTGTCGTGGGCAGGGGTGGCTGGGGTCCACCTGTTGTGGGCAGGGGTGGCTGGGGGGTACAGCTGTCGTGGGCAGGGGTGGCTGGGGGGTACAGCTGTCGTGGGCAGGGGTGGCTGGGGTCCAGCTGTTGTGGGCAGGGGTGGCTGGGGGGTACAGCTGTCGTGGGCAGGGGTGGCTGGGGTCCAGCTGTTGTGGGCAGGGGTGGCTGGGGGGTACAGCTGTCGTGGGCAGGGGTGGCTGGGGTCCACCTGTTGTGGGCAGGGGTGGCTGGGGGGTACAGCTGTCGTGGGCAGGGGTGGCTGGGGGGTACAGCTGTCGTGGGCAGGGGTGGCTGGGGTCCAGCTGTTGTGGGCAGGGGTGGCTGGGGGGTACAGCTGTTGTGGGCAGGGGTGGCTGGGGGGTCCAGCTGTTGTGGGCAGGGGTGGCTGGGGGGTCCAGCTGTTGTGGGCAGGGGTGGCTGGGGGGTACAGCTGTTGTGGGCAGGGGTGGCTGGGGGGTACAGCTGTTGTGGGCAGGGGTGGCTGGGGGGTACAGCTGTCGTGGGCAGGGGTGGCTGGGGGGTCCAGCTGTTGTGGGCAGGGGTGGCTGGGGGGTACAGCTGTTGTGGGCAGGGGTGGCTGGGGGGTACAGCTGTTGTGGGCAGGGGTGGCTGGGGGGTACAGCTGTTGTGGGCAGGGGTGGCTGGGGGGTACAGCTGTTGTGGGCAGGGGTGGCTGGGGGGTACAGCTGTCGTGGGCAGGGGTGGGTGGGGGGTACAGCTGTTGTGGGCAGGGGGTGGCTGGGGGTACAGCTGTTGTGGGCAGGGGGTGGCTGGGGGTACAGCTGTTGTGGGCAGGGGGTGGGTGGGGGTTACAGTTGTGGTGGGCTGGGAGGTTGGTGGGGGTTACAGTTGTGGTGGGCAGGGAGGTTGGTGGGGTTACAGTTGTGGTGGGTAGGGAGGTTGGTGGGGGTACAGTTGTGGTGGGCAGGGAGGTTGGTGGGGGTTACAGCTGTTGTGGGCAGGGAGGTTGGTGGGGGTTACAGTTGTGGTGGGCAGGGAGGTTGGTGGGGGTTACAGTTGTGGTGGGCAGGGAGGTTGGTGGGGTTACAGTTGTGGTGGGTAGGGAGGTTGGTGGGGGTACAGTTGTGGTGGGCAGGGAGGTTGGTGGGGGTTACAGCTGTTGTGGGCAGGGAGGTTGGTGGGGGTTACAGCTGTTGTGGGTAGGGAGGTTGGTGGGGTTACAGTTGTGGTGGGCAGGGAGGTTGGTGGGGTTACAGTTGTTGTGGGCAGGGAGGTTGGTGGGGGTACAGTTGTTGTGGGCATGGAGGTTGGTGGGGGTACAGTTGTGGTGGGCAGGGAGGTTGGTGGGGGTACAGTTGTGGTGGGCAGGGAGGTTGGTGGGGGTACAGCTGTGGTGGGCAGGGAGGTTGGTGGGGGTACAGCTGTGGTGGGCAGGGAGGTTGGTGGGGTTACAGTTGTGGTGGGCAGGGAGGTTGGTGGGGTTACAGTTGTTGTGGGCAGGGAGGTTGGTGGGGGTACAGTTGTGGTGGGCAGGGAGGTTGGTGGGGGTACAGCTGTGGTGGGCAGGGAGGTTGGTGGGGTTACAGTTGTGGTGGGCAGGGAGGTTGGTGGGGGTACAGTTGTTGTGGGCAGGGAGGTTGATGGGGTTACAGTTGTGGTGGGCAAGGAGGTTGGTGGGGGGGGGTTACAGTTGTGGTGGGCAGGGAGGTTGGTGGGGGTTACAGTTGTTGTGGGCAGGGAGGTTGGTGGGGTTACAGTTGTGGTGGGCAGGGAGGTTGGTGGGGTTACAGTTGTGGTGGGCAGGGAGGTTGGTGGGGGGGGTTACAGTTGTGGTGGGCAGGGAGGTTGGTGGGGGTTACAGTTGTTGTGGGCAGGGAGGTTGGTGGGGTTACAGTTGTGGTGGGCAGGGAGGTTGGTGGGGGAACAGTTGTGGTGGGCAGGGAGGTTGGTGGGGGGTACAGTTGTGGTGGGCAGGGAGGTTGGTGGGGGGGTTACAGTTGTGGTGGGCAGGGAGGTTGGTGGGGGTTACAGTTGTTGTGGGCAGGGAGGTTGGTGGGGTTACAGTTGTGGTGGGCATTGAGGTTGGTGGGGTTACAGTTGTGGTGGGCAGGGAGGTTGGTGGGGGTACAGTTGTGGTGGGCAGGTGATGGGTGGCTCGTGGCTAAGGTGTGTGGTTGGTCTTGTAGATGGGAGCATGTACCTAACTTTAAGCTGGCTCTTGATAATTGAATGAGTGTGCTTGGTATGAAGTACTTTGGCTCTGTCTAATCTCCAATTGTCACTATAGCTGTCTATTTCAGTGTTGCTGGTCAGGATGGCTCTAGTGATAGTTTGTGTGTAGAAATTAGGCAATCTTTGATAGCCTTGATATTTATGCAGTCAAGACACCCTGAAAGCAAAATTGTTATCTTCCTCATATATTAAGATGACTAGAGCTAACAGTTCTTAAGTAAAGGCATGGTCAACATTCAACTTTGTCAAAGCATTATGTCAGGTGTCAGGAGGTAGAGCAAGAGTGTACCTTGACGTGACCCCTGCCTCCTCACTCACCTTCGAGTGGTGGCAGAGGTTACATTTTTCTCTATCTTGGGAGCCACTGAAAAGATATTCCTGTACCAGAGTTTAACCACTATCGCATCCTGTTAATGGTATCGACGTCCTAAAATTTATATACAGTACTTAGTTATCTCGAGGATGGCAGTGACATCCAAAATACGTCCAAAATTAAAATATTTGTAAAAATTATATTTCTTGTCCGATTATTATAGTTTGTTTTAAAATGTGAGCCAACGTCTTCCTATTCTCTGTGGCTATACATAATGCTTTTGTGTTATACAAGTACTACACAACTGATACCAAGAAATCATTTGTACTCGCATTCCTCCAGTGCCACGAAGTAGTCATTTGGTCACTAGTGTACTTTGAGTACACTATAAGGATTGGCATCTCAAAAATGACATCATCATACATGCTGGTGATGAACATGATGATGACAGCTGTTCTACTAGTGACAATGTTACAACATCCAGACCAAGTGTGAGGCGGCCACTATTCTTTACTTTATGTACTTTATCTTATGGTAGTGGTAACGTTCTTATATTTGTTCTATGTAAATATTCTTTTAGAGCATTGTATTGTGAACAATGTGATACCAAATTGATCAACGTAGCACGAAAATTGAGGTAAGAAAACCAAAAAAAAGAGTACAGTACAGTACTGTATAAACATATCTCACTCTACCTTGGGGTACCCGATGGCCCACCCGCCGGGAAAGCAGAAGTGCTAATGTGTGGGACAGGTTCTCTATTCTATACTTTGGGAACACTTAATCTAATTTGGGCCAGTTTTTCTATTATAAAACTGAATATATTTATAAATTTACATGAAATTTTTAACCAAAATGTTTTGTTATTGTTGACAAGGAAAATATTTTTTTCTTAACTGGAAATGCAATTAAATATAGTAAGTGTAACAAACAAATATGTCCTAAATTTTTGTATAAATATGGAGTAAAGAGTTAATAACTTAGTTAATAACAGTTAATAACTTCAATATGTTGTTATTTTATAAAAATCCTAACTTTCAAAGAAATGTATCACTAACTTTGTATCCATAGAAAACTGAGGGGTATCATGTAATACATACCAAGGCCACTGTCATTATCTGGCTCATGTTTTTTTGATGGGTAAGACTGAGTGTTATCCATTTTGAAAATCTGCAAAAGAAAAATATAAAAATTATCATAAAAATGAAACAAATTATAAAATGCACATGATGTGTGCGAATGCCGACGGCACAGACAGAATCACGTGTGCAACTGTTGGCAAATCAAAGAAACCAAGAGGAAAGCAACATTGCATGGACAGACTGCCTGTGAAATATTATAACTCAAAGAATGCATGGTTTACACAAGAGATCTTTCTTTCTTGGTTTCATAACGTATTCTGCAAGGAAGTTTGTGACCATCAAGTTAAGAAACTCAAAATGAGGCCAAGCAAACTTTGGGCTTTGCTGTTGCTTAATAATGTGGCTGCCCACCCTAGAATTGACACGTTAACCTCACATGACGGCAAGATAACGTGCATGACACTTCCTCCTAATACAACCTCTCTCATCCAGCCTATGGATCAGGGAGTTATCTGTGCCACTAAGAGGTTGTACACCAAAATGATGCTCACCAAAGTTTTGGTAGTTTTGCCTCTTGAGGAAGATATGGAACTCGGGGTGGATAACAGAGCTAAAAGAACCCTCGAGAATTTGAAGAACTATTCCATCAAGGAAGCCATCTATAACTGGGCCAAGGTGTGGAGTGAAGTAAAGGACTTGACTTTGAAGAATTCCTGGAAAAACTCCTCCCGTCTACAGTCAGCAATGAGGAGGATGAAGAAATGAATTTTGAAGGATTTACAGATGAAATCCATGGAATGTTCAGAAACACTGGCAAAAATTTAGAAAGACAGGATGTGGTTGATTGGCTTGAAAGAGATGCTAATGACCCTGGATATGGTGTGACGAGTGAAGAGATTCTCCAGTCTATTATTGGTGAGGTCGACGAAGAGGTGAAGGATGAAGAAGGCAGTGAGGAACCAACACCACAGACCACGAAATACAGTGTACTCATGTCCTATGTCGATGGATTAATTAATTCTTCATCCAACTGTGCTAATCCAGAAGTTGGAAACATGTATCAGTACCTGAGGTGAACCAAAGAGCTGATCATACAAAAGGCCAATAAACACAGAAGGCAAGCTAAACTTTATTCTTATTTTGCAAGAAAAGCAACCAAAGGCCCTTCAACCAGCGAGGCGTCACAGGCAAGCCAAGCGCCTTCAACCAGCGAGGCGTCACAGGCAAGCCAAGCGCCTTCAACCAGTGAGGCGTCACAGGCAAGCCAAGCGCCTTCAACCAGCGAGGCGTCACAGGCAAGCCAATCGTCTTCAACCTGTGAGGCTTCAGCAGCTGGCAGACAAAACTAACTTTGCCTCATGAACTGTACAGTAATTTTAAGTCTTAATTTTAGTGTTGTGTTAGAATAGGTAACGTAAATTGTCAAGAATTCTTAACTTCAAGATGTGTAGCATCAATCAAGAAGACAAACTACAACACGGTAAGCTGAGGTTTCTAGTTGAATATTTTATAATTGTATGTGGCAAGGCAATTCAAATTATGTTGTTTGTGGTATAAAAATAGTTGGAAATGGTCACTTTTGGACTTCTACTATGAAAAAGTACATTAATCCAGAAAACGTGATCATTCGGCTGGGTTTTTTCCCATATAGTCCACATTAGCGAGCTGATACAGTAGTGTGGAAATTCAAATTATGTTGGTATTGGTACAAAAAATTGCGAATGTTAACTTTTGGACTTAACCGGTAAGAATTCCTGCTTATCCGGATGTCCAGCTTATCTGGTGAGGGTCCTTCCCATATAGTGCTGATAAACGATAATCGGTATGTAGGAGTAACTCAAGCTACCTCGAGAAGGTTTCCATACACACACACTTCCATCATTAAAGAATGTAGTTTCCTACACTCAAGCTGGGATACTGTCCACTAGTTCTACAAATACATTCAGAGGGACCCTAGTGTCATTAAAAATTATTTATCACCAATAACATCAAGTAAACATAAATATCCCACCTAACAGTCATTGGAGAATTTGTTAGCATCACAGGGAACGAAAATGTCACCCTTACAAAGCTCTGATAGGCACCAATGGCGTCTCAAAATTAAAAAAAAAATTTAAAAGAATATTTAGGGAGAGACAAAATTAGAGGAGGACAAAAAGGGACAAAATGATGTAGCTAAATATAGATCATTAGGTACATTACATTAACACCTACTAATTGTAACCCAACAAAGTAGCATGACTAACCAGTCTAAGCTAATCATTATAACTTTAACAATTACAAACAATCGACGTGTGTGTAACTTCGGTGTCTGATCTGGCCGCTGCGCCTCCTCAATAACCTCACAAAAAAACCTCTCCGAGCGACTCACAACTCTATGGTTCTGGGTTCACTTCCCAGGCAGGGCGATACATTTTGATATGACTCCATCCCCCCTGTCCCACCCCAAACCCTTACCTTGACACCTTCCAAGTGCTATATAGTCATAATGGCTTAGCACTAGATCCTGAGGTTCCCTTCCCTTCCACATAATGACTCTTTTGCAGTAAACGGAGTTAGATAACTCCCTAGTAGTCCCCGTGGCGAAGTGGTAACACACTCGCCTGGTGTTTCCCGAGTGCTCTGGCCTGGGTTTGTATCCTGGCCGGGGAGGATTGACTGGGCACCAATCCTTAGTTGTAGCCTCTGTTCACCCAGCAGTGAACGAGTATCTGGTTGTTAAACAATTTGGCGGAACGTAATCCGGGGAAAATTAGGATTAAGGACCTGCCCGAAATGCTATGCATGCTAGTGAGTGCACAAGAATATAAGAACTCTTGTATATATATATAAATAAAACACAATAAAAGTGTGGCGGGTGGCATCTTGGGGAAGGTGAAGCCTTGGATTAAAGAGGTGGATGTGTTGAGGAGGGGTGATGCCGTCACTAGGGTGCCACCGTGAGCCAGACCAGCGTGGACTGGTGACCATAGTGCTGGTGGTGGGGGCAGTAATGCCTCTACACTCAGCCCAACACACAACAAAACAAGAGACATGTCAACTGAACGTGCCGCGCACGCCACTCTCCTCGCCCGCTCCCGGTAAATGCTCTCCAACTAACCTCTTCTGATCCTTCAGGCAAGATGGCGTGACTCTTGTCTTGTGATGTAGATGAGGTTGAGTGTGGCAGGAGGTAGTGAGAGTGAGAGGTGACAGAGTGAGGTGTGAGTGTGAGAGTGAGAGTGAGAGTGAGAGTAAGGTCCCCCGCTGGCCAGCGTCCTGCACACACACTACACCAACCAACACAGTCCTCCACATCCCCGCTACTTCACCACCCCTCTACTCCATATACAACTTACCTCTTGATATTATATATTGATTTAAATTAAGATACAATAATATAATCAACAATAATCCTTAGGAATAGTCAAGCGTACCGTTGACTTGAAATGATCCTACTACAATTACTGAGACAACAGCCTCCACCCCGGCCTCCTAAGGTTCCCCAACGTCAAGAAACTGTCCTACTAAAGTGCCTTCTCCTCGGCTGCTCTTCACAGGGCGTAGCATTATAGTTAAGATATTATCTATATTATTTTAAGTTTTGCCCCAGACGCTTTGCGTAATAGTGGCTTCATTAGTATGTGTGTGTGTGTGTGTACATAGCTGTGACGTGAACTAGAAGCTGAGGCTGTGCTTGCCTTCATCACGCACGAAAATGTAATTATTGCTGGGGATTTTACTGCTCATCGTCAAGAGTTAGGAGCGACTGGGTTAGCCAATGCAGATGGTTAGTTTAGTTCGTTTATTATGCACCTCATACCCATCTTGTGGGCGGTATGGGTGCCATTTAGCTGTAGCTCTGTGAGACTATCATGCAAGAGGAGCCACACATCTATGGATCATCCAATAAAATCAGCAGACTTCTAGATGTTACTACTGCTCGGGTTAGACTCGGTTACAAGTATCTCTGGGAATTCTCATTATCTGCTGATGTAGACCTGACCAAATGTAAACTGTGTCAACAAAATTATTCGCACACCCTCCGTCACTATGTGATGGAGTGCGAAAAGATACGTGAATTTAGAGACAATTCTATAACCAATGTTCCAGCGATGTGTCAATATTTCATTCAAAATGATCTGCTACCAGAAATTTTAGCCAAATATCCCCAGTTTGCTAACTGTAGGTAGTAACTAAGTGACTGTAACCTATCCACCGCTGCCTACTGGATGGGCGGGCGGTGTGCAGGACAAACATATCAATTGTGACACTAGCTCTCCACATATGTCAGTTGCTTAATTTAGAACCTGTACTTGAGGTCGATCTCGAACCCATTGTTGATGTGATGACTTATATTGAATTTTGTAACTAGCTCATCAAGATTGTAACTTGCTTAGCTAAATGAATTGTGGGGTTCAGTCCCTGAGCCCATTATGTGCCTCTGTAACCCTTTCCACTACCGCCCACAAGATGGGTATGGGGTGCATAATAAATGAACTAAACTAAACTCTGTGAGATGTACCTGAGATTATATTCCATTCACCTGGGCTCTAGGAGACTCGAACCGTGGACCCCAAGCTCTATCGAGCGAACTATTGAGTAGGCTTAATATTTATATAACGTGTGCGTGGATGACTAATTCCTCTGAGCTTCAGTAGTAGTCAGGGAAAGTCGAAAATTGCAGTTTGGCAGCAGGATATGCTGCTAATAGAAGCTTTTTTGGAGGAAGAAGGTAATAAAAGTATGTGTTTGTGGGAGAAGGAATTGGCAAAATGATAAGGGAAAGAGAAGGGCCTCAAAATAACAATTCACTTAGGGTATATTACACTAACAGTAGAAGTCTAAGAAATAAAATAAACGAATGAAATGCAGGGCCGGACGAAGTGTTTGCAAGGGTGCTTAAAAAATGCAAAGAGGAGCTTTGCGAGCTACTGTCTACCATATTTAATAAATCAATAGTCAGGCAGAGTGCCTGGTCATGGATGGTTGCTAATGTGGTACCAATTTTTAAGAAAGGCGATAGATCACTTGCGTCAAACTATCGGCCAATTAGCCTAACGTCTATTGTGGGATAGTTACTTGAATCGATAATTGCAAATAAAATTCGTCTTCATCTTGAAAAACATAAATTAATAAATGAGTCGCAACATGGTTTTACCATGACCATGGTAAAAATATTTTTAAATCATTAAAAATGACCATTTTTACCAACAACCATGGCCGTTCATGTTTAACAAATTTATCTTTTTATTCCAGCATAGTTAAGGCAGTTGATAGTGTTAAGGGTTGTCATGTGTACCTTGACTTTAGCAAAGCTTTTGATACAGTGCCACATGAAAGACTGATTAAACAGATAGAGGCTCATGGTATTGGGGGTGCTATATTAAGCTGGATTAGGGCATGGCTATACGAAAGGAAACAGAGTTAGTATAAATGGGGTTAAGTCAGAGTGGGAAAATGTTGTAAGTGGAGTGCCTCTAGGATCTGTCCTGGGACCTCTGTTGTTTATAATATATATAAATGATTTAGATTCAGGTTTGAGTAGCAACATTTGCAAATTTGCCGATGATACAAAAATCTGTAGGGAAATTAACACGGAAGAAGACTCACTTTCACTTCAAGTTGATCTAAATAGGATTTTGAAATGGTCAAAAGATTGGCAGATGCAGTTTAATGCTGATAAATGTAAAGTTTTGAGGCTAGGTAATGATGATAGAGTTACAAGATACGAGCTAGATGGTGTTGAGATTCCGAAGTTGGATTGCGAAAGGGACCTGGGAGTTATGGTTATTAAGAATTTAAAACCAAAGTTTCAATGCATAAATGTTCGTAATAAGGCAAATAGGACACGGATTTATTAATCGAAGCGTTAGTAACAAGACACCTGGTGTTGTTCTTAAGCTATATCTTGCTCTGGTTAGGCCCCATTTAGATTATGCAGTTGAGTTTTGGTCGCCGTACTATAGAATGGATATAAATTCACTTGAATGTGTCCAGCATAAGATGACAAAGTTAATTCTCCAAATTAGAAATCTTTCATATGAAGAAAGATTATCAAAGCTTAAATTGCATTTACTGGAAAGGCGAAGAGTTAGGGTTGACACGATAGAGGTTTACAAGTGGATGAATGGACATACCAGAGGTATTAATAGGGTATTAAAAGTATCAACACGAAACAATGGGTATAAGTTGGATAAGTTTAGATTTAGGAAAGACTTGGGTAAATACTGGTTCGGTAACAGTGTTATCTTGAGGTTATCTTGAGATGATTTCGGGGCTTTTTAGTGTCCCCGCGGCCCGGTCCTCGACCAGGCCTCCACCCCCAGGAAGCAGTCCGTGACAGCTGACTAACACCCAAGTAGCTATTTTACTGCTAGGTAACAGGGGCATAGGGTGAAAGAAACTCTGCCCATTGTTTCTCGCCGGCGCCCGGGATCGACCCCGGGACCATAGGATCACAAGTCCAGCGTGCTGTCCGCTCGGCCGACCGGCTCCGGCTCCGACCAGGGTTGTTGATTTGTGGAACCAATTACCGCGTAACGTGGTGGAGGTGGGGTCCCTCGATTGTTTCAAGCATGGGTTGGACCATTGTAAACCTCTATCATGACACCCCTAACTCGCCTTTCCAATGAATGTAATTTAAGCTTTGTTAATCTTTCTTCATATGACAGGTTTCTAATTTGGGTAATTAACTTTGTCATCCTACGCTGGACACGTTCAAGTGAATTCAAGTGCAGTCTCCGTGGTGTAGTGGTAAGACACTCGCCTGGCGTTCCGCGAGCGCTATGTCATGGGTTCGTATCCTGGCCGGGGAGGATTTACTGGGCGCAATTCCTTAACTGTAGCCTCTGTTTAACGCAACAGTAAAATGTGTACTTGGATGAAAAAACGATTCTTCGCGGCAGGGGATCGTATTCCAGGGACCATAGGATTAAGGACTTGCCCGAAACGCTACGCGTACTAGTGGCTGTACAAGAATGTAACAACTCTTGTATATATCTCAAAAAAAAAAAAAAAAATTATATTCATTCTATAGTACAGCGACCAAAACTGAACTGTATAATCTAAATGGGGCTTAACCAAAGTGTAGTAAAAACTCGTACATTCGTAGCCCCTGTATCGGGGGCGGAGCTAATGTCATGCCGGCTGGACGCTCGCTCGACCATTGGTGGTCTGATCGTCAGGTCAGCTGGGTTGAGCTTGCGTTGGCAAAGTGTAATTTTTAGCTGAATCTCTGAGTCAGAAATTACTTTCCTTGTTCAAATGCATTGCTTATTGTTAATGACAATAATTATTATTGTCATAAGAACAAGGATAATTGCAGGAGGCCTATTGGCCCATACGAGGCAGCTTCTTTTTATAACCACCCACTCCCACTCATATACATGTCCAACCCGCGCTTGAAACAATCGAGGGACCCCACCTCCACCACGTTACGAGGTAATTGGTTCCACAAATCAACAACCTTTTTATTTGCTATCTTTTTATTCCAGCATAGTTGAGGCAGTTGATAGTGGTAAGGATTGTGATGTTGTGTACCTTGACTTTAGCAATGCTTTTGATACAGTGCCGTATTGGGGGTGCTATATTAAGTTGGATTAGGGCATGGCTATTCCAAAGGAAACAGTATAAATGGGGTTAAGTCAGAGTGGGATAATGTTATAAAACATTATCCCACACCATGTTGTGGGATAATGTTGAAGGGATTAAAATTAGAAAGGGTGTAATCTCCCACGGTGCAGGAAAGTACCGTTGTTGCCTCTCTTGGTAGAAATCATAAATCTGACACAAAGTTCAATTCCAGTTTTAGTTATCCATTTGGAACAATGTTGACCTTCAACAAAGAAATTTTGAAGAGATTCTGTGCAAGGGTTAGGATGAGCTAGCCTAAGCATTTTTATACCAATTTGACAGTTAATTTCAATAACACGATCAACAATGCTCGGAATATAAAAGTTCCTTTCTCGTGTTAATTATCTTTCTGGTAAGAGGGCATCCAAGGATTATCCTCAAGGCTTTGTTCTGCAATATTTTCAAGTCCTCCAAGCTTTCTTTCATGCACCAAAGCGAGCAGAGGTGCAGCATAATCCACTAAAGATCTGATGCCTGCAAAGTACATACATAAAATGAACAAAAATGTAGTGTAGTTACATACATAATTTTGGAAATTTTGACATTGGCACCTTAGCCTGAGTGATAACCTGCAACAGCCTTGAGAGCTCGTAGCCTCTCTTTATACTGACGAAGAGTCTGAATACAACAGGACCATGCAGTGGCACCTCAAGGCCAAGGTATTGTTGTGTTGATTTAGGGG